TTTGTTGATCTGTTTATGATGAATATGTCATTTTGTATAACTTCAGTGATCTTGAGAAACTGTAGTTAGAATAATACTTCTAACTTGTCAATTTACTTTCTATTCTCAATCACAAAGCTGTTTGAGCAGTTTCTTCAAAGGGACAGGGAGTCCCTGAGTGGCAGTCAATTTCATTCCCAACCTCTAGTAGTTGTAGGGGGCCATTGCTGCCACGTGCTTAATTCTGGTCAAAAAGAGAGAAAAATGGAAGCCCTGAGCAAACTTAGGAGAAAGTGACTGCATTGTCTTTGAGTCTGTGATAGCCGAGAAGGGGCATGACAAATATAATCAGTTGTGTGCTCTAGATTTTAGGAAAGCAGTTCCACACATTTCAGAGAAATGATCAATATAATTGCATGGCCTGAGACTCTGACAAGGATTTCTCTTAGGTCTGAGAAGGGTGGTAGTACTCTGCAAGGAAAATTCTGGCAGTAAAATAGCATATGGTCTTGATGAGCACGAAAAGGAGAATGTATGAGGGTGCTGTGGCTGCATAGGCAACTTTCTGTTGAGCTCAGATTTTAATAAGGCATTCATTATAAAATCTGGAAGCAGTAGCAAGTAGCCAAAGAGGATAAAATCAAAGAATGTCACAGACAAAAGAGCAGAACCAAGAAGGCTGAAGCCTGATTCTTACTGACATTGCTAAGGATTACAAAAATGGAAGAAAAAATGTTTAAACTACTAAATTCTTTTTTTTTTTTGGCTGGCAGTGGGGTTAAGTGACTTGTCCAGGGTCACACAGCTAGTAAAGTGTTATGTGTCTGAGCTCACATTTGAACTCAGGTCCTCCTGAATCCAGGGCCAGTGCTCTATCCACTGCGCCACCTCGCTGCCTCTAAACTACTAAATTCTTAATAAACTTCCCTGGCCTCTGTCAAGGAAATTGAAACTCAGAGATGTAAAGTCACTTATTCAAAGTCACATAGATGGCAAAGCCAGTATCTGAACTCAAGTTTCCCTACTCCAAGTTTAGCATTGTTTCCACTGTACCTCTCTGATTTGAGGAATGCTGTAGTTTTCAAATTTCTGAATTTCATCAAGACTTTTTAACAGAGTTTCTAATAATATTCTTGTGGACAATATGTAAAAATTTGGGCTGAACGAGAGTGTAATAGTTCCATGCATTTGGAACTAGTGTCCAAACAATACTCTTTAAGGGTTCAATACTAACCTCTTCAGTACTAATCTCAAAAGTCCCATCTTAGTGTAAGGTACTATGATTTCAAGAAAATATTAAAGTGTAGAGGAAAACTCTGTCATTGCCTCTTTCTTTTGTTGGTAGAAGACACAGATGGCATGCTTATTAAATTTGTAGATGCTGTAAAACTGAGAGGAATGGTTCATGGATGAATGACAGGCTGAAATGATGAGACAAATTTAACAAAATTAAATTCAACAGGTTTAAAATCTAATTTGTTCTACTTAGGTTTTAAAAAAATCAATTACACAAGTATTGACTCCAGGCAAATAGGAAGTTGGGATAGGGAATGGTGAGGAGTTGGAGTTTAGATAATATACTTTAATGACATTTCATGTGATGAAAAGGTCTGGGAGTTTTGTTTGATAGCAAACCTTAATATAAATCATCAGTGTAACATAACTTCCAACTAAAGGTAACCCAAGCTTAGGCTGTATAATGTTTAGCATCCAGAATAAAGACATAATACTCCCACTGTCCTCTGTACTAAGCAAGCTACACCTGGAGTGTTGTGATTAGCTAGCAGCCATTCAGAAGAGCATGACCACAAAAGGACGTGGGCTTAATCAGGAGAAGAGAAGACTTAAAGGGGAACAGAGTTGCTGTCTTTAGATGTTTGAAGTACACGGAGGAGGGGTTAGATTTTTTATGGGTGGTTACAGAGGGCAAAACTAAGACCAGTAAGTAGAGGTTACAGGGCAAGACATTTGGATTCCATGTGAAGAAGACCTTTCTGACAATTACAATTAACCCAAAATGAAAAGAAGTGTCTTGTGAAGTAGTAAGTTCCCTGTCACTGAAAATGTTCCGACAGAGCGTTGGGAATGCTGCAGAAAGGATGTATGCACTGGGTAGGGAGTTGGGCTAAAGAGCCTCTGATGTGCCTCCTGGTGTAGGCCCTCATCGCCTCACAGCTGGGCCACTGCAGGAACCTTTTGGGCAGTCTCCTTGTCTCAGTGTGACCTTACTCCAGCCCATTGTCTGCTCAACTGCCAAACTTAGTTTCCTAAAACATGAATGTGACTTCCCTGCTCAACATAGTCTAGTGGCTTGTTGTGGTCTTCGAGATCAAATATGTAAGCCTCACTTTAGCATTTAGAGCCCTTCACAACCTGGCCCCTTCCTACCTTTCCACAGCTACACTGGCCTGTTTGCTGTTCCTTACACATAGCACTCCATTTTCTTACTCAGTACATTTGTATTGTCTGGCCCTTATGCCAGAATGATCTCTTCCCTCACTTCCGATTCCTCACCTCCCTTGCTTCCTTCAAGACTCGGCTTCAATCCCCCCTCAGTGCCCCTCCCCCATCCCTGTTGCCTTCACTTTGTGTATATCTGGCATGTATGTCGTTATTATTATCTTTTCGCTCCTGTTAGAACATGAGCTTGTTGAGGTCAGAGACAGTGCTTTTTACCTTTCTTAGTCCGAGTACTGAGCACAGTGCCTGGTATCTGCTGCATGCCCAACAACCACTTGTTGAGTGACTGGCCAGCTAGAGATGGTATTTTTGGTAATGCTCACATTAAAGAACGTCTGTTACAACAAAAATGTCAGGGGTGCCTCATTAATTTTGTTATAATAGGATTTACTTTGTATTCTTATTAATGGACTCATTCCTTAGTCAATACTCATTGTCCTTTAAAAATTACTTTTACTTTTTGTTTTGTTTTTTTCCTTGTTGTATAAGTAATAAGGCTGAAAGGGACCTAGGAAATCTTTAGTTGGAACTCTTACATTTTATGGATGAGGAAACTGAGACACCCCCCCATGTGACTGAAACAAAGACTCCTAATGTAGTGATCCTTTCAACATACTACTATCTTTTTAGATAAATTCTAGTTCATTAAGTTTCGTTTTTCTAGATCTTCCCCTGTTCTAAAAATAGCATCATCAAAAATGTCCCCTTCTTACTATCTTCTTGCATTGTTTAAAAATTATTTAAATTTAGATAATATTCTTTCTGTGTAAGCACTATTGGGCTTTGAAACAATGCAGTTACAATTTTAAGATGATGAAAATTCAGTGTTTAGTCTGGCCTTAATAATGCCAGCTGGTGTTTAATGATAAGGAAAACCCTCTTTTCATCCCATCATCCATTTATTCGTTTTCACTCAGTAGTCGTATTTTAAACTAAAGATTCTTTTTGAAAATCATTTGCTTTGATTCTTTTCCCAGATCTCTAAACTTTTCCTTTGATTTTCCTCTTCATTCTTATTGTTCTGTATCCTCATAGAAGATGTAATAAGTAAAAACTTCTCTATCATTCTTTAAGAAACTCTTAACTGTAACTATGATGCTTCATTGAAAAGAAAATCAGCCTTTTCTTTTGGTCTGTTTCGCAGGTTCTTACCCATAGAGTAACTAGTGGTAAATCTATTTCTTGAAGTCTTGAAGTTTCATACTCATCTTCTCTTTGACTGCTTTATCTGTCCTTCTGTCGATTTTGTTCCGGTTAAAATTACCGATTGTAATCTGTGTGTATCTGGCAGGGGAGGGTCTTGAAAAAACCATTGGAAAAGATTCTTTGTACTGAGTGAACATCTTTGTTTACATAGTAAAAAAAGTTTCAATTTCCTCCTAGTTAAGTTTTTTTTGTTTGTTTTTGAAAGTCAGAAATGAAGGTCTTATGTTATTTCCTGTTTGTCCTACTTGTTACAATTCAGTCATTTTTCAGTCATATCCAACTGTTTGTCACCCTACTTGGGGTTTTCTCGGCAGAGACACTAGAGTAGTTTGCCATTTCCTTCTCCAGCTCATTTTATAGATGAGGCACACAGGGGTAAGTGACTTCCCCAGGGTCACACAAGCAGTAAAGTATCTAAAGCCATATTTGACCTTGGGGAACTGATCTTCCTGACTCTAGGCCTGGCACTCTATCCACTGCACCACCTAGCTGTCCTCCTTGTTCTACCGGCCAGTTTTGTTTTTAAATAGCAACCTTATCTATCTTAGCAACTTAGGATCTGGATACTTCATGTAGCCTGGCTCCTTTTGTTAGCTTACTTGCCATGTTTTCACTTGTTCAACCAACAAAAACAGTTTACACTTTACTGTACTTAGAACTTTACTGATTGTTAGAAATTGAGGGAATACATATCCTCTTAATGAGACTGATAGGTAATTTGCATGTTCCATTGAGCTGACTTGTTGAAATCTAGCACTCTTGAGTTCCTTTTTGTCATCTTTCTTTAATCCCCTCTAGTCACATGCATTTCTCTGAGCTTTTCTGTGTCTTCAGTGACTTTCTAAGATCTGTATTCTTTCTTAATTTCCAAACCCAATAATAAGCTATAAACCAACCTTTTAAATCTACAACCACTTATTTTTGTTTTGTACCACATTTCTCCTTCCTTTACTACTGCATGATACATATTTATTCATTGAACTAGGAGTATTAATTTTAATTTTAGTTTAGTCTTTTGCTATAGTCCATACCCCATAGACATAACTGTCTACATTATTAAGTATTATAAAGTCAGATGTAAGAATCACTATCTTAGAAAACTATTTGAGGGCCTCTCATTTCAGTTTTTTTCAGAACTTACAGTATCTTTTTTTATTCTTTCCCCTTTCTTAACCCCAATTTTGCTGAATTTCATCTTGACCTTAGTGTTTTGGGGTTTAGGGTTGGTTAATGCTAACTGGACTAGACATTTTAGCCTATAGACTTTGGAAGGGATCATATTGCTGTTGGATGAATGAAAAGAAAGAAGAGGATCAAAAGGAGAAAGAAAACTTGTGTTTTTTTCTTTTTTGCAGCATTCTCGTCCTCTGTCTGCTAGTGATGCTGAAATGAAAAACCTTGTGGGTTCAGCAAAGGAGAAGGTGCCAGGGAAATTAGGTGGTTCTGTGCTTGGTTTATCCATGGAGGAGGTAAAAATAATTCTATTTCTGGCTCTGATGATTGCAGATAAAGGTGAGGTGGGAATGAGTGTGTCATCCTTCTACAGCAGTTTGGTTATTTTTGCCAAATAGAATTTTCACTGAAAAGGGAGAAGGAATCATCCTGAGGGAAGATGGTGAAGGAGTTTGGAGAGAGCAGGCAGACAATCTTCATGATCTTTTTAAAGTAACAAAAGAAAGAGCAAAAAGAGATAAAAGCTTTAAAAATGTCAAGAAAAAGCCATCTGAAAGACAGCAAACCATAGAAAATCTCAGAAACAAAAGAAGAAATAATTTTCAGGAGAAACAAGGGAAAAAAATGACTGAAGAAATGCCTGCTGATGTAGCACCGGAAATAATGTAAGAAGAAATCCCTGTAAGTGGATACCCTCAGGGAATTCAAAGAAGACTTGAACCCAGAAAAAAAAATTGGAAGACTTAAAGGAATATATAAATGTATCTAAGAAGCCTTGAGTGGAATTAAAGGAAGATATGAACTCATAGAAGAAATCTTAGGAGGAAATAAGGGGGGGAAAATCTTACAAAATTGGAATGTAACATAGAAGATGTAAAGACATTACTAAAAGAACAAAGTGCCAAGTAAATGCATAGTAGCAAATAACAAAAAATAACAAAATTTAAATGAAAGATAAAGCTTAGGAAAAAAATTAAAATCATTGAGTAAAGCAGAAAAAAATCACTGTTCTGGAAAGCAGATTTAGGAAGTTAAACTTTGCAGTCATGATAGTCTCTGAACATATCAAATAAGATGTTACTCATTTTTACTTAAGGTAATTATAATAAAAACTTCCCAGAACTAGTGAGAACACAAAACACTGTACACAGAAAGAATCCCTAGATCTCACTTCACCTTTATGCCACCATCAGGAATTAACACTTCTTGAGAACAGATTCTAGAGGATCCTAGAAAGAAATAAGAAAGGTGATGATATGAAAACAACAGTTCTTAGAAAGGAGAATTACAAATATCACTGAAATAGAAGGTTGGATGAGGAGAGGTAGGTAGTGAGGACAAGATACCCAACTCTTATCTGAAAAAGGAAAGCATCGAACAAACAAAACACAAAAGAGAGTAATAGTAAACTTAAGGCATTTTGGGTTAAACAGGTTAACAAGAGGGAGCAAGAGTTGGAGAAAGGAGAGCAGGTTCATATTTAGTATAAACTAAAGAAACAGAGATTACTGACTTAGAGTGGGATAAGTATGCCAGGCAACTCTAAAACTATCAAATTGCAAATAAGATGTCAAATTGCATTGGTCAAGGAAGTTCCCTACACTATTAAGAGTCTAGTTCCTATCCTGTCTCTATCCATATCCCTTCATATTCACCCATACATACTTAAAGCCTAAAACTGCACTAAAACTTTTGAGACATCAAATGTGCATGTTTAGACGCATATATACATATTACACGCAAGTATGTGTATATGTACGTATACATATACACATCTAGTTCTTAGCACATTGCTGGAACATAGTAGACTCTTGATAAATGTTGATAAACGTAGTTAATGGAAGAAAATACAAGCAACAGTTATGACCTTACATGTGAATGTGTTATATTTCCTAATAAAAATTAGAAAGAAATGGATAAAAACAAACCCCAATAATTTGGGCACGTAAAAAACCCCCAACACATTTTAAAACCTTTAGACACATACAGAGTGAAAATAAAGGGGATAGAATAAGATTAGAAGTTGAAAAAAAAAGCAAAAAGACTTAAGAGATAAGTATACAGCAAAAATCATTTTAAAAGTAATTTTTTAAAAAGGCAACAAAAAGCATATGGATAAAAGAAAAGGAGTTGGTGATCCCAAAGGATAGCAATGGATATAAAATTTTAGGGAAAAAAGAGATGAACATGCATAAAATACAGGAAGTGATGTTAGGTTTTGTTATAGAAATATTTTAATACTTGGTGCACTATGATTTTGTTGGTGTTGTTATTTCTTGGAGCATTCTTTTTTTTTTTCCAGTTAGGCAGTCGGGGTTAAGTGACTTGCCTAGAGTCACACAACTAGTAAGTGTCAAGTGTCTGAGGTCAAATTTGAACTCATGTCCTCCTGACTCTAAGGCTAGAGCTCTATCCACTGTGCCACCTAGCTGTCCCAGTGTATTACTTCTTTACAGATGCAGATTGCATTAGTAACATTCAGTAGGTGGGATTTCATAGTTGTTATGATCCAAATAATCATCACTGTGGGATCAAACTTAGCTGGGCTGGACAAAAGGCAGATATGGAGTCTGTGCCTGGGTCCATGCTCAAAGCTTTTCCAGCTGCTGGCATAGCCTTTGAGAACCCAGGATCAAGCTCATACTATGATTGAGTAGAATTAATGGAGTTATAGAAAAAGATATAGTAAGATAATAATCTTTCCATTCCCTAACAACCATGTGAATAACAAATATAGCCCTCTCCCCAAAAGGTAAACTAAATGTCAGATTTAACAAGGGGAGCATTAAATGCAAACCAATTGAATTCTCCTTGAAAAAGAAAAAGGGTTATGAATAGATTGAAAAAAAAAATGAACAACTCAGAATCCAACAATATATTGTCTACAGACACACTTGATGCAAAAAGATTTAGGTAGGTCGTAATAGAAAGACTAATCTAAAATATATAAAGGAGTAGCCAGTCTGAGGAAAAAATTGGGCTGCAATGCTCATATGATTTAGTACAGTTTAAATGAAAAGTATCCATCAACTAATATTTATTAGTGCCCAATATATACCAGGCACTATGCCAGGTATTGGTAAAGAAAAAACTGAAAGTCTCTTCTCTCAAGGTGAGAAGAGAACACGCATTTATGAAGTGCTTATTATGTGCTAGGTGCTGTGTGAAACTCTTTACAAATATTATCTCATTTAATTGCTGTTATGATCCTCATTTTACAGTTGAGAAAATTGAGGCAGAAAGGTTAAGTGACTTACCCAGGGGTATGTAGCTTGTGCCTGAGGCTGGATTTGAACTCAGGTTTTCCTGACTCCAGACCTAGTGCACTATCCATTGAACCACCTACCTGCTCTAACTTAATCACTAAAGGCGCTTAAATCCTATTACAGGATATAGATAGATAGATAGATGGATAGATAGATATAAACAGATATATGTAAAATAAATTTATACACACATACACATAGTAAAATTGTGGTAGTGAGAGAAGGCATTAGCTGTATTACAAAAAGCATTGCACAGAAGGTGGTGCTTAAGCTACATCTTGAGGAACATATCCCAGGCATGGGAAGCAAAGAGTACAAAGGCCAGAGGCCATAGCTGAAATGTTGTGTAGAGGGAAAAAGTAGTTTAGGCTGGCTAGACTACAATGTGTGGAAACAGATGTTAGGTATAGATTTGTGTGTGTGTGTGTGTGTGTGTGTGTGTATGTATAGATACATGCATATACATACATATGTTTATATGTATAAGCACAATTATAGTTTGTATTTTATCCTAGAGGTGTTAGAGATTCACTGGAATTTTTTTCAGTAGGAGAATGACATGGAAAGAAAGTTATGTATTTGCAGAAAATCATTTTAGCACTTAAATGAAAGATGGATTGAACTGGGGAGAGACTTGAGGCAGGGAGACCATTTAGGAAGCAAGTTCAGTCATCCAGACAATATGAGGGTCTGAACTTATAAAGTGGTGGCTGTGGCAGTACAAAGAAGGATTCAAATGTGACAGATGTTATGGAGTTAGAAATAACAAGATTTACCAACTGATCAAATATGCAGATTGAGGGAGAGTGAGGAGTTGAAGATAAGGCCAAGGTTGTGAACCTGAGAAATGATGAAAATGGAGGTAGCCTTGAAAGAAATAGGGAAATTTGTTCAAGAGGAGGGTTTTAGGTGAAAGATAATGAGTTTTATTTTGAACATGTTGAGTTTAAGCTGTTAATGGGATGTCCAATTGGAAAGGTCTAATAGAAAGTTGGTGATGTATGACTGGAACTCAGGAGACTGGAACTCAGGTTGGATATTTAGATCTGAGACATTTAAACCATGGGAGGTGATGAAGTCATTAAGAAAGAGAATGTAGAAGAAGAGGGCCCAAAAGAGAGTAACTGTGGGGTACACATGTGAGGGGACTTGATACAGATCATGAATGAACAAGGGCTCCTAAGGAGGAGTGGTGAAACAAGTAGGGGAATAACCAAGAGAGAGCCAAAATGTAGAGAATGAAAATGCCTTGGAGGAAAAAGTTCTTGACAGGGTCAGATGTATCAGAGAAGTCAGGGATGATAACTGAGGAAAAACCATTGGATTCAGCAAGTAAGAGATCATTGGCATCTTTGAGGAGAACTTTTCAGTTGAGTGATGAAGTTGGAAGCCAAATTACGAAAGGTTGAGAAAGAAGTAGAATGAGAAAGATAGTCAGCTTTTTCTTGGAATTGGGCGTAGAAAATGAAGAGATTGGGGCAGCTAGGTGGCACAGTGGATGGAGCACCGGCCCTGAAGTCAGGAGCACCTGAGTTCAAATCTGACCTCAGACCAAGCACTTGACACTTACTTACTAGCTGTGTGACTCTAGGCAAGTCACTTGACCCCAATTGCCTAAAAAACAAAAGAAAAAGAAAAAAAAAAGAAAATGAGGAGATATATAGAACTATAGATCAATAAGATGGTCTGCTGAAAGTATTTTTAAAGCATTGGGGAAACTTGGGCATATTTGAAATCAGCAGAAAAAAACCGGTTTATAGGGAGAGATGGAAGATTACAGAGAGGTTAATTGTGGGAGCAGTCTGCTGGAGAAAAAGGGAGGAAAATAGAAGCATGTAGAGGGTTTGGACTTGGTAAGGAGAAGGGCCTTTATCATTGTCAGAGACTGGGGAAAAGGAGAAGAGATTGGGCAATGATGACAAGGGGTTTAGGGATGAAAAGAAGAGGAGAAGAGTGAGCTCATCATGAATGTTGTCCTCAGTTTTCATAAGAGTAAGAGGTGAAATTCTTTACTGACAGGCTGAGGTAGGAAGAAGTCTGAGAAGACTGAGAAGAGAAGAGAAAGTTTGCAGCAGAAACAAGGCTATTACAGTAAAAGGAATACACAGTAATAAAAATATAGCAATTCCATATGTACAAAATAAAATAGAATTTACTTCTCCCCTGCAAAAAAAAGCTGATAGATTTACAAGAACTGGGTTTAGAAGATTTAGGAGAATTAATGATAATAACCCTGAATAATCTACAATAAAATATAATAAATTGAACCAAAAAATAAAGAAGTTGTGGGTTTGAACCAGTTGGTGATCAAATTTGATTTAGCAAATATGGAGAGTTTATTGGAAAAAAGCAAAGAAATATGTTTTCAGAAATATTTGTAAAAATTGATTGTGTATTCAGACACAAAGATATCCTACTTTTATTTTAAAAGATATATTTACAAGTGAATTTTTCCAGTTTTTCAAAGAACAAAAGCATATTTATATTATATATACTATTTCTAAATAAAGATAATAGTATTTAATCAAGTAAATATAGTTTTGACTCAAAAAGCTGTTAAAGACAGAGCTGGAAAAAAATTTTGACCAATCACACGAATACAATCAAAACAAATATGTTTTGCATGTAGATACAAACAAAATGAAATAATAACAAATAGAATAGATCAGAATATATTTTAAAACTATCTCAACTTTATGTTATACTATTAATTATCTAGTAATTATAGTACAGTAATTTAAAGCTACTTCAATATTAGACAATTGTTATAAATAGTACAATCATGACTATATTAATAAAGATAGAAGAAAAGAAAATGTGGCCATTCATGATACAAACATTTTAAAAATACACAGAAGAAGGATTTTTCCTTAATATGATGAAAGGCATCTACTTGAAACAAAGAGCTGACATTCTATGCAATGAAGATGTACTTGCTTCTGGAAAATCGGTGTGAAACAGGACTGTTTATATGTCTACCATTTCTAATAGAGTTGTAGAAATGCTTCCTATAGGAATAAAGCATAAAAAAGAAAACTTAATATTGCTAATCAGGTGGTTAAAATGTCTTATAAAATATCTATCTCATTTGCTAGCGACAATTTTGTTTACCTAGAAAATCTAAGGGATTTACAAGAAAAAGTTAACTGATAGTAAATGAGTTTAACAAGTTAGTAGGAAATAAATAAGATAAAGTACACAAGAGCAATTCACATTCTAATATATAATTAATAAAGAACTGATAAAAATTAAATTTACAATAATGACAATAAAATAAGATATATGAATATTTAACTACCAAGACACACGGGAAGCCTTTATAAGGATAATCTCCAAACTATTTTGCTAGATATAAAGCAAAAAGTGAGCAACTTGGATGCTATGCTTTGCTAGGATGACCTAGTATAGATGACCTAGAATGAAAATATTTCCCAAATCAGTTTACAGAGTTGGTACAAAACCAATGTATTATTTTATAGAAATGGATGAACAGTACCAGATTTATATGGAAAAATTAATGAGTAAGATCATCAAGGGCAACTGTGAAAGAAAAGTTGATGGAAAAATTCCATTGCCAGATTTCAGAACATATTTTAAAGCAGTATTCCTTAAAACCTTTTGGTACTAAATTAAAAGAAAAAACAAACAAATCAGGAGGCCAGAATAGATATTCCAGAAGTAGAACAAAAAATCTACAAAAGATTGATGTCTGGTACAAGTGCAAGAATCCTAAACATTGGAAAGAGGAATTCAATACAAATTATTGAGAAAATTGGAAAGTAGTGTGGTGAAAAGCAAGCCTTGATCTATACCTCATATCATATATTGCTACAAATTCTGATTTGATCAATGAGATTAGCCAGAACAAGTTTTAAAAGTTAGAAAAATGAGTGTTAAAAGTCAGAAGTATTTCATCTCAGCTATGATGAGAAGACCAGTTATTGCACAAATGAAAGAAATTGGGTTGAAAGTGGATGGATTTAATTATATAAGAACTTTTAAAAGGACAACAAAATAATAAGGAAAGAACCAAATGGAGAAATTTTTGTGATAAGAAGTCTGACATATAGAACTTACAAGGACCTGAGACAGTTTTTTAAAAGGAAACACTTAGTCCTCCATGCATAAATAGTTACAGGAATCGACAGTTTGTGAAAGAGGAAACACAATTATGAGTAATTGCTGAATTTCAGTTTGGAAAAAGTTCAACCTTTCCAATGTCAGAAGTGCGATTTAAAACAACTTTAAAGCATAATGTCATACTCATCAAATTGGCAAAAGTAATTAAAAGTGATAAAATGTGCTGTTGTAGGGGGTGTGGAGAAACAAGTTCTCCATTACTTTGGTGGTGGAATCATGAATTTGTGTCATCTTTTTAGAGAGCCATTTGACAGTACAAAATAAGTGGTATAAAATTTATCATGGCCTTTAATTCAGTGATTCCATTACTCAGAATATATCCTTTCAATATGATTGAAAAAACTTTATGTAAAAAGCATTCATTATCTTCATTATTATTAATATAGAAAAACTAGAAATTGCCATATTTCCAGTAACTGGGAAACTGTTGAATACATTTTGGTATATCAGTGCCATGGAATACTGCTAGTTTCTGTCAAATGGCAGACAGAGGGAATATAAATCAATCTGGAAAGAATAAATAATGCAGACTGAAGACAACTGAACTAGAACCGCAGCCACATGTTCATTAACTATTACTGTACAAATCACTTCATATTTATACAGATGTAAATGGACAAACGAGATGAGAAGGGGACATAGAGCAGAAAGGTTGTTATTAATTTAAATATATGTTTGTTTTGCTCGGTGTTAGTATTGTTATTGTTATATTAGGGGTTTTGAGTATGGTGGATCGAGTACCAGGCCTGGAATCAAGACCACCGGAGTTCAAATCCAGCCTCAGACGATTACTAGCAGTGTGACCCTGGGCAGTTTATTTTAACTTCTTGTCTGCCTCAGTTTTCTCAACTGCAAAATGGGAGTTATTATGGCACCTATCTCATGTGGTTATTTTAAGGATCAAATGAGATAATATTTGTAAAGCAGTACCTGGCACACAGTAGGCACTTAATAAATGTTTGTTTCCTTCCTCTTCTCTATAATATTGAAAAATAAAATGAAGAGGGAGAAAATTTTTCTTGAAAAGTGAATCTTTAAATAAGATTCATCCTTTTATCCTGCATTTGTGGGCTCTCATTTCAGCTGTTGCTACCAATTGTATTCTAATACAATTCTAATGTTTATTATCCATAGTGGTTTGATGTGACTTTTTTTTTTCCTTAATGTAGATCAAGGTTTTACGGCGGGTGAAGGAAGAAAATGATCGTAGAGGGGGATTTATTCGCATATTTCCTACATCAGAAACGTGGGATGTTTATGGGTGAGGTAACAACCTTGGGGTTGGGAAATAAGCACATTGACTTAATTCCTAGTTAGAATGCCCAGTACCTTTGCTGCTGTCTGATGGACAGAGCACTGGACTGGGTGTCAGGAGACCTGGGTTTGAATCCCTCCTCAAACATTTGTTAGCTTGTGTCATTCCAGGGAAGTCACTTAATGGGACAGAGCTTGAGTTGAAGAGGAAAACTATACAGCAGAGGGAGAGGGAGTCCCAAAAAATTAAGTGCTGTAGAATGGATGAAGATTTAGAAGATCTGGCAATTTGAAAATGTGGTCTTAAAGTGAGCGGTTTTAGTAGAATGGTGGGACTGGAAGACAGATTTTTTAGGGGCTAGAGAGTGAATTAACAGTGTGGAAATAGAGTTGATGAGTATAGACTCCTCTCTTAAGGAGTTTAGCAGTCAAAGGCAGGAGAGAAATAGGAAAAGCAGCTTTAGGTTATAGCAGAGTCAAAACAAAAAAGACTGGTACAAGTGGAGAAATAAGCCTTGAAGAGGAATCCTGCCTTCTCCTCTAAGATTAGAGTAAAGCATACAATCGATAAGCTTTGAGATAGTAGTAAGAAAGGCTAAGGAATGGCTTCAGGCTTCTCAGTAAAGTCGGAGTTGAGGTCATCTAAGTAGGGAAAGGGAAGATCAGAACTGGGGACTTGAGGAGGCAAGAAAAAGTTTAGAATAGCCCTCCTAGGGAGCATGATAGGGAAGTCTATTAAGAGATGGGGGGAAAAAAAACAGTGGTTGGAGCCTGTCTGAAATTAGGTAATGCAAATGTAGTGGGTCTGCATAGTTAGCATAATTTTGTAGCTTCTTCCTCCAAAGTTCAATGAATCCAGAGTAGAAGCATTCAGAAAAGGTGGATATGGGGGTGATTCAAGGTCAAGAATTAGCAGGATTTTGAATAACAGAAGGACAAGGGAATAAAACATTCAAAGATGGAGAGTAGTGCTTTAACCGTAAGATCAGGATTGTGAAGTGGGGAAAGTGAGTCCTGAACATTGGTAATGATACACTAGGAGAACAGGGATGGATCGAGGAATTAAATGTTGCAGTTAATACAATTCAATAACCAATTATTTCATTAGGGAAAAACAAACGAACAAGCTTAAGAGGAGTGACGCATCATCAGAGAGGCAGAAGGCTCTGATTATACATAGAATGAGAGTTGTGGATGGTGAACTGGTAGGCCAGGGTATTCGGAGGTTTGAATGTTGACGTCATCAAGAAAACCATGAAGTAGAAAATGGATATTGCAAGTCAGATACTGCATTCTCTGGGGAAAGGGGTCAGTAGGTGGCAGCAAGGTTCAGGACAGGCTGATAAAATCAAATGCAGTGGATTTCAAAGGAGAGACTGATGTGTAATGGTAACATTGGGGAGAATCTGGAAGTCATATGGAGGAGTGAGTAGTATGCTGACTCCTCCTAGGTCCCAAATGGACACAGAGAGAAGGAACTACCGGAATTAGAGAGGGTAGCAAAGATTATAAAGTCTTTAGGAGAAATGTAAGTTGTTCTGATTACTAGAATGTGGAAATAATGTGAAAGTAAATATTGGGGATGAGGGTCAGTTCATTAGCAAGCATGGGGGCATGGCGTGGCAAGAGATATACAAACACTGCAAGGAACAGGCCTTAGGTGGACAGGGATGATATAGGAGGAAGTGCTTTCCCTTGCAGGAGAGCTGGCCTGCTGGCTGTTTCTCCTGTATACACTTGTGCCTCTTGTTTCCTATGCCTTACTGCAGATGGTGCCCCCAGCAGCCCATTTCTTCAAAGCACAGCTCAGGTGCCGTATCCTGCTAGAGGCCTTTACCAATTCGTCCTAGGTTGTTGTGTTCTCTCCTTCTTAAAATCATTTTGTATTGTTTTGTATTTACTTCCCTTTGAATTTGTTGCACCTCACCCTCCAATGTAATTTCTCACCCCGCAATGTAGTTTCCTTGAGGGCGGAGCTTTTCATTTCGTTTTTGTATCTCCAGTGCCTAGCACAGTTCCCTGCTGAATAAGCTTGTTCAGTTGGGTTGAATGTGTTGAGATAGCAGGGAAAAGGATTTTTACCTAACTAAGCATATGGGAGTTCTTAATTAGAAATTAGAGGAGCAAGAAATAGTGGTGTGTTAGTCATAGGATAGGTGCATTACTACCAAGCAGAGAAGAACTTGTAGACCTAATTAACCCTCATGGTTACACAATGCTGTTTCCCAGTTAGACATCTCAGTTTTTTTCCAAGAGGGGATGAGAGGAATGAGACTTAATGGTGACTGGCATAGAGGTCCTCAAGTGAAGGAAAACTAGCCGTCATCTCCCAGGGCAACCCTGTCATCTGATGGTAAGCAAGAGAGGATGGAGACTTGTGGAGGATGTTTGCCAGAAGGCAGCAAGCGGGCTGTAAGAAAAAGTGTATGGCCCTGGCAGTCAAGAGACTTGAGTTCAATGCCTAGCTTTCTCATTTATTAATCTCATGACTTGCAGCAAATTATAAACTAGTAAGAATTATTCACATCTGTAGAGCACCATAAGGGTTGCCCAAAGCTTTAGATAATGTGAAACTTGCCTCCAGTCTGCCTGTTCACACTTACGTCCTGTTATTCTCCTTCATGCTCTTTATGCTCCAGCCAAACTGAACCACGCATTCCTTCATTTCGTTGTACCTGTAATCCCTCATGCCAGGAGTGGACTCCCCAACATATCTACATCTCCAGCTGTTGAAATGCTTCTGTCTTCCAAGATCCAGCTCAGATACTACTTACTCTTCTCATAAAGGCTTCCTTGAATATCTTTTAGCTGTCTTATGAACTTAGTTATACTCTGACTTGTATTCTACTAATTTGTACATATAACTTATCTTCTTACTATATTGTAAGTTTCTTTTAAAAAGGGACTATGTTTTCATCTCTTGTGCTTGCTTCAGTGCTTAGCACAGTGCCCGGCACACATAGTAAGCTCTTAATAAATATGTATTCTCCCTTTCCCTCTCCCCATCTCTTTTCCCCTGCCCCCTCCTGTGCTCCCTATCTACTCCATCCATCATCTTTGTATAACGTTTGCCCTGCACTTAATACCTGCTTTGCCAACATTTGTATAACTGAAATTGTTTTCTTCTTCTAACTCCTAATGAGCAATTTTCAGTTAATGAGGCATTACATTAAATGCTGAAATCTCAGAACTATAGTAGTAAACTAATCTCATTATGAGTAACATATCTTTGAGTGTAGAGATGCCAAATTGTAGGAAATCTTACGTATTTTTAAAAATCTGTGCCTCCATGGTCCTTGTAAATGATGCGCCATATCATTGCCACTAGACCCCAGAAAGTATGAGCCTAATAAGACTTTTTCAGATTCAGTACAAGAGGAAAGTTTCCTATTCCTCTGAAAATTTAAGTGTTTATAATTATGAAATATATTTTTCTTTCCGTTTTCCCAGTGTCCATATTCCTACAGTGTCTTGAATCTTCCTACTCCACTCTGCTAGCAGTTGTAGTTGTGTAATTGTCACTTCTTTTTATTTTTAAGAAAGATATTCTGTAAATTATATGACAGCTGTAGGTTTGATTCACTTTTAATTTCTGCATCAGGTATCTCTAAACTGAAGATTTAACCAGTCCTTTCTCTGTCTTTCAGGTCCTACCTAGAGCACAAGACCTCAATGAACTATATGCTGGCTACACGGCTCTTCCAGGACAGGTGGGGATTTGCCGATTTTATAGCCTAAAATGCTGGAAAGGATCACGTTGTGAGGAAAAAGTAAATGAAAGACAAAGAAAATGGCTATATAGAAACTATAGTGCTAGTTCCTTGGTGGAAAGGGGCTATTTATATAAAGGTGTGCCGTTATTTAAGCAAATCTGATACAGCAACTCTTTGCTTGAGGTCATTCTTTTGAAAATCTCAGCTCTCTGGAACATGACCAAGAACTAGAATGAAGCAAAAAAAAAGAAAAGGTGTTTAATGATGCAAAGTAAATGTCACAAATCCATGAACTAAGAGCTCTGTAGGTATTTCTGAGAACAAAGCCCCTAGTTCCTCACTCAAAGTCTATTCTTTTAGACAGAGCCTTTAAACTTAAATATGTGTGTGTGTGTGTGTGTGTGTGTGTGTGTATGTGAAACTGAAAAAATGATAGCTCATTGAATGATAGGAATTTGTAGGTAGAATAACTATGAAAAGCAGACATAAGAATCACATAACCTCAGATTTGGAAGGGACCTCAGAGGCCATTTAAATTAACTTCTGAACGGAAATGCCTTCTGTAGTAGTAGTAGTAGTAGTAGTAATAGTTGCCTTCTAACCACTCTTTGAAGATTTCCAGTAAGGGGGAGCCCATACCTCTCTTGAAATGAATCATACCCTTTTGGGGGGCAGCTAGGTGGTGCAATGTATAGAGCACTGGCCCTGGAGTCAGGAGGACCTGAGTTCAAATCCAGACACATAACACGAGGTGTGTGACTCCAGGCAAGTCATTTAACCCCAAATGCCTCACAAAAAAAGAAAAGAAAAAAAAAATCATACCCTTTTGGGATAGTTCTAATCATTGCAAAGTTTTTTCCTTATATGAAATCAGATTTTCCTCTCTTAAATTTCTCTCTGTTGTTCCTGTTTCTACCATCTGAGCAGAACACATTTCATCCCCCTTTTATATGACAGACCTTCAACTACTTGAAGAAAGCTATCATGTTCCTCCTAAATTATCTTCTCCAGGTAGCTAAATAATCTCAATTGTAAATATTGAGACAAAATATAGCAACTGATTCTTGCGTAGCATGATCTGCATCCTTTCTCCCATCCAGCCTTACCATCCTGGCCTCTCTCCTGTTGATATGTTCCAGCTTGCTAACATCTTTTCTCAAATGTGGTACCCAGAACCTAGTACCGTCCTCTGTATTTGGACAAGGGCAGAGTGCAGACGTATGACCAGTACGAAGTACACTTAGACCTTCACCCTGTCCCATCGTGGGCATTCTTTTTCTCTGAGTGCAGCCTTAGATCTCATTTTTTGGTTGATGTCACAAACTAACTTCTTGAGCTTGCTGTCTGCTAATTGCCCTTGCCCCCAAGTCTTCTTCACAAATTTATTGAGGTTTCCCTTGTCTTGTGCTTAAGAAGTGGTTTTTGAACTCATCTATAGGACTTCATATTTACCTCTGCTAAATTCCTTTCTGGAATTCAACTCTATTAGGGATCTAAGGATACTGGGGCTATTTAGTGTAGCCCCAAGCACCATTACATACTTCAGGGGCTCCTCAGGACATCATCATGGTGTAGCAGAGTACAATAATGCTTTTTGGTAGCAATATTTGTGAGTCACCAAAAAAAAAAAAGCTCAATTATGTTCTAGATAATAACTATAGCATTTATATAGTTCTTTAAAGTTTACAAAGCATCTTACAAATATTGTCTCGTTTTAAACTCAACAACCTTGGGAGGCAAGTGCTTTTCTTATCCCTGTCCTACATATGGGGAAACTGAAACAGACAGAGGGTAAGTGACTTGTCCAGGATCACATAGATAGTAAGTATGTGAGGAAGTATTTCAACTCAGGTCTTTGTGCTTCCATGGCCAGCACTCTTATTAATTGTATCACCTAGTTGTCTAAAATGGCAAGAGTGTGTAGTAAAGTTTAGATAATTTTCCATCAAAAATTTTCATAATGAAGAGTTTTGTCGAAGTGGAGAAATCGACTTAATATGGAATGCCTCCTTCGTAAGTGATATATACTTAATGCCAGATAAATGAAATATTTGTGAATTATCAAAACAGTTTGTAAAACTGACAAATTAAAGGGTGAGTGTTTCACAAAAAAAGATTTATTTCAAGATTCACCTAAATTGTGAGGGCCCTAATATGTTTTGAATAAGCTTAGATTTATGGTAATTTTATTTGTAATCAGTTTTTCAAGGATTAACCTGTTTCATAAAATTAGGATTACAAGTGCCTTGACACTTGTATGGAGCTGATGCTAGTGGGTCTTTTTGGATTCTTTGGACCTGGGATTAGGGACATGTTTTGTATTTAGTTTGCCATTCCTGGGCTTCTTGCCATATAGCTTGACAGAGGATCTGGGCTGTGCTGCCCTGTACTACCCAGAGAAATCTTTCCTACTTTCAGCCTGGAAGTATAGCTTGTATTATAAATAATGGATGGAAATTTTTTAGGAACAGTAAGAGGAGAAAACCATCTGGTAGATACAAGGGAAAGTACTTGCAGAGAAAAACAGTTTTTTAGGAGAGTTGTCTAATGAAAAGTGTTTTATGTTTTTAGAGATGTAGAAAGCTAGTTATCTTGAAAAGGATTATTAGCAGTTCAGTGTCATCATAGCCTTCATATCTACCTTTGGTTATAAAGTAAAGAAGTTTTTTGTGCTTATTCCTTTTTGAACCCTCAAAGATTGGTGGTCATTTGGCTTTACCAGGAAACTGGAATATCCTCCTAGCTCCATTGGTTCTTCCTCCTTTCCCTTCTTTGTAAGCATCTTTAGAAATGTCCCTTTGAGCTCATAATCCTCCAGATCAGTTGTCTGTAAAAAGATTCTCACCTCTATGTCTTTTCTCCCTAGAGAGAGCTTCTCTCTTTGACCTAAATTCTATGCTGAGGAACTACAATAAATGAAATAGGCTTCAGGAAAAGTGGCACCTTGTTTAAAAAAAAAAACACACCAAGAAACCATGTGTGTATATATATGTATGAGAGAGAGAGAGAGAGAGAGAGAGAGAGAGAGAAAGGATGCCTATGTGTACATATTGTTGCCCATTAATCAGTTGTCCTCTCTACTCCTGTAGGGGAAACACAAGAAGAAGCCTATTGGTAGGGAGGCCACGGTAAGTGGTTTTGAAAAGTTGAGATTGCATGGGCGCTTGTGTGACTATGAGGAGATTGAGCATGGAATGCAAAAGTTTTGTTACCTTAGAGATCATTTTACAGTCTGGTCTAGCTTGATAGAGTTACCTAATTGTTTGTCCGTGACCTCTTTGGGTACCCCTTCTATAAAACAGTTGAATTTTTCTGTATTAGAGCTACAGGTAAACCTTTATAACTGCGGCTACTAACTGTTCCTGCTTGGCTATTTCAGAAAGAGATTCACAGTGGAAACTAAACTTACTGTTCACTCAAAATTTGTTTTTATAGTGGATTCCAGTGGTTTGTTAATCTGGCCTTTGTGCATCTGGACATATGCTACTTCAGGTTTGTCCCAGAGAATTAGAAGTGTGCAGAGCTGAAAATGTTCAGAAAACCTGTGCTTTGGGGCCTATATATGGTTGGTAGAGGATTTTGAAGGTTTGGGAAGAGTTGGGGAAAGCTTTATCTACATCAGGAGTTCTTAACCTGGTATCTGTGTACTTGCTAAGTTTATTTAAAAATCTTGGTAACTGTATTTTAAGGTGATTAGTTTCCTTTGTAATCCTACCTATGTCCTTTTAAAATATGTTTGCTTAGAAACATGATTCTGATTAGAAGCTCTGGTCTAGATGAATAGTCTAGCCAGAAAAATAAAGCATTGAGACCAAAGACAATTCCCATGGCTTCAAGGGAGGCATTTGACCATTAGAAAAGTAGTTCTGTACATATGTAACTTTTTTGTTTTATACTTTTTTGGGGGAGGAGGGAGGATATATTTAACCACCTTTAGTAGGTCAAACTTTTCTTTGAGCTCTGAGAATTAATTGTCCAAAAGTTTTCATTTAAAAATTTGCAGTTATCACTATAATAGACTTGAGAAATTGGCCAAAAGGAATCTTTTTCTGAACATTGTAATGGAGATATTCTGGATTATGCAGGCAAAATATGCAGAAAATTCTGACTGTGATTTCAGTGATAGGGAATTGGCCATCTTATCTTGAGAACAGCCACAGTACATCAGTCAAATATACAGTTACACCAAATTTATTTCTCCCTATTGGATTAGAGGTTATCAAACTATAAACCTGTACTTTAGTTACTCTAGAGAACTCCCTTTGAAGAAACTCCTTCTACCAATGCAGATTGGTAGAATGCAATTCTTCCTTTGCAGTTTAATACCCAAGAGTTGCCTGGATCACTGATTGAGTAAATGACCTGCCCAGGATTATAGTCAATATTTATCAGACTCGTATCCAGGGCTCCCAAACTCCCAGGCCAGTTCTCTATACTCTGTGTCATACTCTTTCTCTTCATACTTTTGAGGAGAGATAAATTCATTTATTATAATAATAATGAAATTTATGTTTTACTTTGTGGCATATGAAGCACTTTAAATACATTTAATTTTATGAGAGATTTGCTATTCCAAATCCTTCACAAACATACATGTTTAGATCTTTCCTAGAAAGTAGGAAAACAGGTTTGTTGTCACTTGTTTAATGAAGAAACAGGAATAAAATGATTGTGACTTGTCTCAGTATCAAAGTCAGAACAAATTAATGCATTTTCTAACCCCTAATGATCTTAGATTCTAACTATTAGATAATACTTCTATCTATTTGCAAAATTTTTTTTTAAATCGTATAGCATAATAGAGAAATTAAAGTTGAAGTCAGTAAAAAAAGACCTGGGTTTTAAACCTGCCTCCATCGTGCATAGACTTTGTGACTCTGGGAAAATCACTTGACCCCTCAGTACCCCCAAGTAATTTTCTAAGGCTATATAAATTGCAGTGTAGGGGATCATTTGCACTGGAATCGCTTGACCAGGTGTTACTACACCAGAGGGGTCAAACTCTGTGCTTCAGGGCACCTCCAGTCAGAATAAAATGTTACTGGGAAATGTTTTACAAAGTCAGTAAAAATGCAGTACAACCTAGAGAATGTTAATTTGTGGTTTTCTAAGTCAATATGCATCCCTCTGGATCTGTTTCTATTTGCATTTGATGGCATTGACCTACAACAATGAAATAATTGATCTAAATTACAACAGAAATTCTAGGGGAAAAAGTTTAAACCCTTCACAGTCTTATTAGGCTAGTCAGTGCTTCTCCAATATATAGTAATTAATGTTTTCATATATTAACAGTTTACATTTCTGTAAAATCTATAAATTACTTTCTCACCCATTTATCTATTTCATGAGCTAGGATTTAGGGCTAAAAGAGATCTCATGGATCATCTCTCCCCTCAGGTAGTAAGGAAAGCCAGGATTTGTACCAAGTCCTCAGACATCAAATACTGAGATCACTCTACTATACCATGCTACCTTATTTGTTAATGCATTATCTTGCTATCAGTTAAGATCCTTAGTTGTGTAAAAATTTAAGGTATTGTTTCTTGTATTTAAAATCATAATCATTTATCATGAGCCAGTGTGAGCATGATAACTCTTCAAAGTTAATGAAGACCTCATTCTAAAGACTTCATTTATTCTGAAATAAATGACATAAATTTTGCATATTTTTTCCACAGTTCTCTGTTAGAAAGATGTGTTCATTTATCTAGGATAGCTTTGTTTTATCTAGACTATTTAAAAATATCTATAGAGAAGGAGATTTCATAACCAATTTTTTGATCTCTGAGAATTCACTGTACAAAACATTTTATTTGGAAGTTTGTAGTTGCAGTTATAATGGTATATTGAGAGCTTTTCTAAAAGGAGGGTCTTTTTCTTACTTTTTTTTCTGGGTTATACAGGCAGAATTGTGTAAGACTCTGACTCTGACTGGTGTGATAGGGAGTTAGAGTTACACATTTCTTAGAGTTACACATTTCTTCTTTATGATAGCCAGAAAATTTCATCCTAACAGGTAGGCTCAGTAAATTCATTTTTCCCCAATGAATTCGGGGGATATTAAACCATAAACCTAACTTAAATATGATCAAAATCTTGAAAACACTGATTTGGAGGAAGGAATGCATATGTATTACAGGACAAGGAATTACAGTTTTTCAGTTTTAAATTTAGTATTATCTGTCTACATATGGCTATAGGATTAGCCATTTTGATTGAATAGTCAATTTATTCAAATAAATAGTTTGCTTTCTTCCTTACTGAAATGACAGGTAACTAGGGATATTTATTTATTCTAAATTTATGGCCCCTAGCAGAGTGTCTTTTTACACAGTAGGTACTAAATAAATATTGAATGAATGAATGAATGAATGAATGAACCCATTGTTTTATAACAAGCTATTGTGAAGTTGGCTTGGGACAGCATTAAAAAGTTCTTTAATTTATTTCCTACTCTCATCTTCAATTTAGAATGACTTCAGGATACCTTTCAACTATATCACAGTATCCTGACCAGATTCCAATCATCTGGTAGATTATAGGCTAGGATCTGCCAATATCCCACCTCCTTTACCTCCTCACATATTCTCCCCCCTTCCTTTACCCCCTCACATATTCTCTGCCCCCCCCATCCCATCTCCTATTTCCCTGTAGCTTGGTATTTCAAGTAGTCTGTTCTGATAGGGATGGCATGATGGGAATCAGGATTTGATGGCAGTTTTTGGCAGCTCACCAGAATCACATTTTTTTTTTCTCATAGATTTTTGTCAACCATCTTAACTTCCCTACTTTTGTTTATTCATAGAGTTTTACTAAGATAGAATAACTTCTTGACACAAAAGGCTTGGGACCCTCTACATTAATATAATGCAGTCTCCTAATGCTAGTTTATGTACTTGAAATTAAGAAAAAATATTTTTATAAAATGGTTTATTCAAACATTTCACTAATTCAGGCAGGGTTTCCCAGTTTTCCTGTTTAACTGTCAAACATTTTAGAATTCCTTAGAGTCACTGGGTCAGTATTTTTTTGGTACAGACCTCCACCAGGCTTGGCATTGAAATAAAGGAGAGAAATTTGTAAATGCTATACTGCATTGTTGTTTTCCCAGAGTGGCTGTTGATGCAGGGCCAGAAATGAAGGTGGAGAATGTGAATGCAAAGGCCAAGCTACATGCTGCACTTTATGAAAGGAAACTTCTATCCCTGGAGGTGCGAAAACGCAGAAGAAGGAATGGCAGATTGAGAGCACTAAGGCCAAAGTACCCAGGTACAAATATACTGTTGGCCTTGACTAAACTCAGTTAACTAGATCTCTTGATAGAATAAGTTAGCTAGCCTCTTAGTCCTTTTGAACTGTTCTTACAATTAATTACTTAACCTTTTGTGGAGCTTAATTTCAAGAGGATTCTTAGAGTTGTTTTTTTTTAAATCTTTCCTTCCATGGTATTTATAGTAAGAGAGATATTACATGTATGTTTAAACTGTTATTATAACTTTAGCATTACATAAATACATGGTACATATGAAATAATCAGGTTTTTATAAGTTGAATGTATCCCTTAAGAGTGACTGATCTAATTAGCTCATAATTAGGTAATGAGCTTTTTTGCTGCTTTGATCTGAAAAGGGTAAAAGTATTTCATTCTTCCTACACATGGAATAAAGGAACATTCCCCTATACCCCAGATTCTACAAACAGTGCTTGGCTTCCTAGGCCCCTGACAGTGTAGTTTTCTCAGTTCTATTTTCAAATTTCCTTGATGCAGAAAATTTGTTATAGGAAAAATGAAGTAATGATTTACACCAACTGGCACTGTATTCTCTTTGGAAGCTACATTAGCCAAGTTTGTTTTTAAGTGTAGAGCTGAGCAGTGATTCTCTTTGCAAATGTAAATCTCAGAAATGTTTTTTTTTCCCCTCTTACATAAAGCCATGAAAAACAATGATAATCTGCCTTCTACCCTACAAGGGTAAATGAAGTGGTTTAAGATATGTTCTGTATTAAGTTCAATGAATTTGCCCTTTGGCATTAGGGCAAGATAGGAGGTAAAATATAATGAAGAGACCAGAAATGCACATGATTTTGCATAGACACGCCTATGTACTATATTACTTTTCTGTCTTATCTCTGGCTTAATCTAAATGTTTGTGTATAATACTGGAAGGTGTTGAGAGAGTAAAACACTTAATTTTTTTCAGCAACATTAGCAATTCTTCTGTTTTAGTGCTTCCGAAGCCGACTGAAATATCCATTAAAACTGAGACTGAGAGTGAAGAGGGAGAAGAGGATCAAGTAGAGCATGAAGATGAAGAGCAGGAAGCATCCCAAGAGGAATCTGCAGGATCTCTTGCAGAAAATCAAACCAAATACACGTCTTCAGTGACTGCATTGGTGGACACTCCACCCAAAGAAAGTCCCTTGAGAACTTCTGAATGGAATGGAGAAGCCACTCCTTGCCCCAAGCCTGAAATTCAGCAGCCAGAACCCGCATTTAACTTGTTGCAGATTCTGCAAGAAAATGGAAACCTCAGGTGAGTCCCCTTTTCAAAAAATGAACTTGTAACCCAGTTGAGTAAAGAGTAGGGCACTTGAGTGGTCTACTGTGCAAATAGATGCTTTCCCGTGAAGTAGAGGGTGAGATCTTTCTTGATATTACTTTCAGTAAGTGAGCTTCTTTCACTAGCATATTCGTTATTGTAAATCATTGTAGATTTAAATTTCCTTTTTTTTTTCTTCTGGTGCATAGTGGTATACCTCACCCCATTAGACATAGTCTCAGAATGAAACATTTCAGAAGTTTTCTTTATTTAACTTTTTTTTTTTGGAGTAAGGCAATCAGAGCTAAGTGACTTGCCCAGGGTCACACAGCTAGTCTAAATGTTATGTGTCTGAGGCTGGATTTGAACTCGGGTCCTGGCTGGTGCTCTATCCACTGCGCCACCTAGCTGTCCCAGAAGTTTTCTTTTTAAAGAAAATTGTTAATACGTTTTTTGTCTTTACATCAGCTCCATATCTGTATATAACACTCACCTCTAATCTACTGAGTACACCATCTCTTGTAACATATTAAAAAAGAAAAGGGAAAAAATGGCTAAAACAGCAAAATTAACCAGCTATGCCATATGCTTAGTTCCACACCCTTAGGCCCCTTCTTAGGAAGGGAGGTACATTTTCTTTTTCTTTTTTTTTCTTTTTTTCAAATAAATTTTTATTGCTGTCTTTTGTTTTTTACATCATTATATTTTTCTCCAGTATCCCTTTCCCTCCCCCTCCCAGAGAGGTGATCTCATATGACAAATAGTATATTTTAAAGACAAAAAAGAAAAAGAAGAGGAAAACTCAGCACAACCAGTCTTTGCATTGAAAAAGTCAGAAAACATGTAATTGTGTAACGCCTGTGGACTTTACATTTCCATGAAGGGAGTGTCCTCTCACTGGGAGATGCATTTTCTTATCTCTTCTCTGAGGCAAAAAGTGTTCATCTTAATTACACAGAGTTCAGTTTAATTTTTGTCTTTGTACCATTTACTCCTCATTGTAATTGTGTATATTGTTTACCTCCTTCTTAGTTCATGCTGTATCAGTTCATATAAATCTTCCTGTGTTTCTCTAAATTCTTGATGTTCACTATTTCTTAAGGCATGACATTCAGATACTGCAGTTTGTTGAGCTGTTCCCCAAAGTAGATGGATATTAACTTTGTTTCCAGTTATTTGCTACTACAAAAACCACTCTTATGAATATTTTAGTATATATGTAACCTTTCCTTTTGTCTTATCTTCCTTAAGATAATCATTTCTGGATCAAACAGTATGGTCATTTTAGAAACTCTTTTAACACAATTTCAAATTGTTCTTCAGAATGGATGGACCAATTCACGGTTCCACAAGCAATATATTTGTGTGCCTGTCTGTCTACAGCCGCTCTTAGATTGTATGATTCTATCCTTTGTCAACTTTTCCAGTTTGTAAGATGAAACAACAGAGTTGTTTTGGTTCACATTTTTCTCATTATTTGAAGTAATCTCTTCTAAAGTTATTAATAGTTTTCAACTTGGAAGAATCTTTCATGGTAATAGCTTGAGTTGTTCTTTTCAAATCAGTTTATCTATTTTGTCCACTTATCAATTGGGGATAATGACTCCTGGTCTTATATACTTTTGTTATAATTCCCTATATCTCTTGGATATCAGATATAATTGGATACCAGAGATAATTTAATTTAACAATTTTCCCCCAATTGATAGCTTCCCTTCACATCCCAGCTGCATTCGTTCATTTATTTATTTGTTTAGTAATTACCTTTATTTCTTGTTTGATTAAGAATTCTCCTCCCTACCCATAGGTATGAAATTTGAATACACTGTGACTTTTAATATTCAGATCACATCTGTTTTGAGCTTACTGCGAGATGTTGTCATATTAAACCTAATTTCTGCCATGGTACTTTACAATTTTCCCAGAAGTTTTTGTCAGATATCTAGAGTAATCTTAGTAAAAGTTATAAGAATAGTAAATTCCATTCTCATTCATGATTTTGAAAAACACAGCCTTATCCAAAGAAGTAGTATCTTTCCAAGTTGAAATAGTTTTCATTTGAATGAATTAGTGAGATTGGAGGATTCTGCTGTCATCTAAATATGGAAATGATGTAGAGGGAACATGAAAAATGGCCGTGTTCTCAGTTTAGCTCATCTCAAGTAAATCTGTTGACTAAAATAGAAGATTTTTCTATTCTGCACATAGTTTGACTTAGTTTTCCTTATTTGTTGTGTTAGTAAAGTTTAAAATAGGGGAGAAATTATGAGGAAAAGACCTGGTATATAGTTTCTTTCTAGTAATGGGAGAGCCTAGATATTTTCCTTGTTGAGAAACATCACAGAATAGTATTTTTTTTTAAAGTCATGCCTACATTGGCCATGTTGCTAAAAATAAATGAGAAAAATAAAGGAAATGAAAAAATGTTTTAATCTACACTCGGAGTTCATGAGTTCTCTCTCTCTGTAGGCAGATGGCATTTTTCATCATGAGTCCTTCGGAATTGTTGTGGATCATTGTATTGATCAGAGCAGCTAAGTCTTTCATGGTTGATCATTATTACAATATTGCTGTTACTATGTACAATGTTCTTCTACTAACTTCACTTTTCTTCGGTTCATATAAGTCTTGAGTTTTTTCTGAAACCATGGCCTTCATCATTTCTTAGGACACAATAGTATTTCATCACGTTTATACACCATAACTTTTTCAGCCATCCCTCAATTGACAGACATCCCTTCAGTTTCCAGTTCTTTGCCACAACAAAAATATCTGTGTAAATATTGTTGTGAATATGGGTCTTTTTCTTTCTTCTTTGATCACTTTGAGGTACAGACCTAGTAGTAGTATTGCTGTGTTGAAAGGTATGCACAGTTTTGTAGCCCTTTGGGCATAGTTCCAAATTGTTTTATAGAATGATTTAATGTCTAGTTCACAGCTCTACCAACAGTGCATTAGTGTACCTGTTTTTCCACATCCCCTCCAGCAGTTGTCATTTTCTTTTTCCATCGTGTTAGCCAACCTGATGGATCAGAAGTGGTACCTTAGAGTTGTTTTAATTTGCATTTCTTTAATTATTAATTGTTTAGAGTACTTTTTCATATGACTTTCATATATCTTTTGATTTATTCTTCTGAAAGCTGCCTGTCATATCCTTTGGGCACTTATCAATTGTGGAATGGCTCTTTTCTTTTTTTTATGAATTTGGCTCGTTTCCCTCTATATTTGAGAAATGGGAATTCTCCCCTGCCAATTTCCTGCTTTGCTTATGATTTTGGTTGCATTGATTTTGTTTGTGCAAAGCATTTTTAATTTAATGTAGTCAAAATTGTCTGTTTTACTTCTCACGATCCTCTCTATCTCTTGTTTGGTCATAAACTTTTCCCTTATTCATAATCTGACAGGTAATTTTTTTCCCCACACTCCCCTAATTTGCTTATGATATCACCCTTTATATCAAATCATGTACCTATTTTGAGCTTATCTTTGTAAACGATGTGAGATTTTATCTAGTTTCTGCAAGATTGCTTTCTAATTTTGCCAGCAGTTTTTGTCTAGTTCTTGCAGCAGTAGCTTAAATCTTGGGATTTAGTCATTTACTTCTGTATATTATCTATTCCATTGATCAACAATTCTATTTCTATTTCTTATCCAGTACCAAATTGTTTTGATGATAATCATTTTGTAGCTTAGTTTGAGATCTGGTACTGCTAGGCTACCTTTGTTTACTTTTTTTTTCCATTGATTCCTTTGATACTTTTGATCTTTTGTTCCTACAGGTGAATTTTCTTATTACTTTTTCTAAGTCTATAAAATAATCCTTTGGTAGTTTGATTGGTATGACACTGAATAAGTAAATTAGTTATTATATTGGGTCTGCCTACCCATTAGTAATTAATATTTCTCCAATTATTTAGATCTAACTTTATTTGTAAAATGTTTTATAATGAATTGTGTTCATATAGTTCCTGTGAGTATCTTGGCAGGTAGATTCCCAAGTATTTCATATTGTCTGCAGTTGTTTTAAATGGAATTCTCTATGTCTTCCTGTTGGGTTTGGTTGGCAATATATAGAAATGCTGATGATTTATGTTAGTTTGTTTTACATCTTTCAACTTTGGTAAAGTTGACAATTGTTTCAATTAGTTTCTTAGTTGATTCTCTAGGGTTTTCTAAGAATACCATCATATCATTTACAAAAAGTTATACTTTATTTCCTTGTTGCTAATTCTTATTCCTTCAGTTTCTTTTTCTTGTCAGTGTCATCACTAGCATTTTTAATATAATATTGAATAATAATGATGATGGTGGGCTTCCTTTCTTCATCCCTGATCTTATTAGAAAGACTTCTGGTTTATCCCCATTATAGATAATATATTTTCTTGGTTTTAGGTAAATAATACATATCATTTTAGGAAAAGTTTCATTTATTCCTGTGTTTTCTAGTGTTTTTTAATAGTAATGGGTATTGTATTTCATCAAAAGCTTTTTCTTCATCTATGGATATAATCTTATGATTTTTGTTGTTTTTGTTATTGATGGGTCAGTTATGCTTATAGTTTAGTTATCTGATCATTGCTGTAGTCTCCTTTGCTGTAGGTTAAAATTTTTGCATCAGTATTACTTAAGGAAAGTGATCTATAGTTTTCTTTCTCAGTTTTAGTTCTCCCTGGTTTAATATTAAAACCATCTTTTTGTCATAGAAGGAATTTGACAGGACTTTTTTTTTTCAAATAATTTATGTATTATTGAAATGAATAGTTTTTTAAATGTTTGGTAGAATTTGCTTATTCATCTCCTTAACTTCTTTTTTATTTATTTTGTGGTTAGATTTATTTGAAATCCCCTACTAGTATTGTTTTACTGTATATTTCTTCCTGTAATGTATTTAAATTTTCCTTTAAGATTTTGGGTGCTATGCTGTTTGGTTGCATTTATGTTCAGCAATTGGTATTAATTCATTATCTATGGTACCTTTTAGCAAAGTATAGTTTCACCGATTATTTCTCTTAATTAGTTCTATTTTTGTCTTGCTTGCCTGAGATCATGATTGCTACTCCTGACTTCTTTTTTACTTCAACTGAAGTATAATAAATTCTGATCCAGCACCTTATTTTAAGTCTGTATGTGTCTTCTTTTTCAAGTGTATTTCTTGTAAACAACATACTGTTGGATTCTGGTTCCTAATCCATTTTGATGTCTTCTGTTTTATGGGTGAGTTCATCCTAGTTACACATTCACAATTATAATTGCTAACTGTGTATAATTTGCTAACTGCCCATCCATCCTATTCTCTTCTACTTATCCTTGACTTTTTTATCCTGTGCTCTTTTCAAGTCTGTTTGTCTTCTGACCACTGTCTCTTAATCTGCTTTCTGTCTTATCACCCTCCCTCCTTTCTTTGAGCCCCTTCCTGTCCTGCTTCCCTGATGGATAAGATGGATTTCTTTACCCAACTGATTGTGTGTGCGTGTGTGTGTGGGTGTGTGTGTATTTTTTTCCTCTTTGAACCAGTTCAAATGAGAGCGAGGTTCAAATGATGCATGCTTCTACCCATTTTCTATTCCATTACAAAATCTCTTTCTTGTGTGCCTCTTATTTGTAAAATGATGTCCCCTCCTCTTCCTTTCCCTTCCCCATTCTCCCAGTATATTCCTCTTTCTCAGCCTTTTATTTTTCTTTTGAGATCATACCAACAAAACAGACTCATACCAATGTCCTCTGTCTAAGTAAACTCCTTCCAACAGCCCCAATGATGATAAAAGTTCTTGAAGGTTACATGTACCATCTCCTAATTTGAAAGTGTAAACAATTTTACTGTAATAAATTTCTCATGATTTGTCATTCATATTTACCTTTTTTATGCCTCTCTTGAATCTTATGTTTGAATGTCAAATTCTCTATTTAGCTCTACTCTTTTCATCAGAGATGCCTGGAAATCTCCGGTTTCATTAAATGTCCATTTTTCCCCCTGTAAAATTATACTCAGTTCTATGAGGTTGAATATTGTTGGTTGCAATCCTAGTTACTTTGCCTTCCAGAATATCATATTCCAAGTCTTCTACTTCTTTATAGTGGTAGCTGCTAAATCTTGTTTGAGCCTGACTGATGCTCCATAGTTTCATTTTCTTTTTTTATGTGTGAGGTAATCAGGGTTAAGTGACTGCCCAGGGTCACACAGCTAATAAGTGTCAAGTGCCTGAGGCTGGATTTGAACTCAGGTCCTCATGACTCTAGGGCTGGTGCTTTATCCACTGCACACCTAGCTGCTACACTCCATAATTTCTGAATTCTTTTTTTCTGACTGCTTGCAGTATTTTCTCCTTGACCTGGGAGCTCTGCAATTTGGATATGATGTTCTTCAGATTTTTCATTTGGGGATCTCTTTCAGAAGGTGATTGGTAGATTCTTTTCTTTCTATTTTGTCTTCTGGTTCTATGATAATTGGGCTGTCTTCCTTTATAATGTACTGAACTGTGATGCCTAGGCCATTTTTTAAATTGTGGCTCTCAAGTAGTCTAATAATTCTTAAATTATCTGCCCTCTATTTTCCAGGACAGTTATTTTTTTGATGAGGTATTTCACATTGTCTTCTTTTTTTTTCATTCTTTTGACTTGGTTTTATTGTTTCCTGATGTCTCATGGCGTCATTAGCTTCCACGTAATAAATTTTAATTTTTAAGGAAATACTTTCTTTAGTCAGGTTTTATACATACCTTTTTTGCCATTTGGCCAGTTCTGATTTTTAAGGAGTTGTTTTCTTCAATAAATATTTTTTGCTTCTTTTACCAAACTGTTAATTCCCTTTTCATGATCTGAACTTCTCCACCTGAATCTCCTGCTCATTATTTAGTTCTTATTCAGATTTTTAGTTCTTTCTACCCTAGCCCTTCCTCCTGACTAACCTTGGAGAAACAATAACTAGAAAGCATTCAGTGATTGAATGTTCAAGGATTGTAAACAAAGTTTGTGTTGGGCCCTAATCTGTTGCTGATGTAATTTTGGCTACAGTGTCAGAAAGCCAGTCAGTTGAAGTAACCAAAATCCCATCTGAGATGAAACAGACCTGCTTTAATCAGCAACTCCAGTGAAAACTATCAATCTTTTTTTGTTACCTCTGTTTTATAATCTGATAGTTTGATTGAATCTCTAGCTGCCATTCACACAGACTGAACAGATGAGAGCATAGTTTCTAAGAGATATTTCTATCTGGCATTCTCTTTCAGCAGAAAAATTTGCCTTTGTGATTCTGTCTTGTCCTTTCTTCTTGTTTGTATCCACTTTCTTTGGACTTCACATATTCTCTGGGCTTTAGCCATGATTCTCTTTAATTGGGAGAAGTAAGGCCTAAAACTTGGTGTCCAGAGCCCCTTTGTAGAATTTATCTGCTACCTTTCCTTCTTTGGATATCTTTGTACAGTAGAAAAGTATCTTAATATTTGTAAGAACCATATATTTTTTTCAATTAGATAAGTAAGATCTTAACCACTTGAAATGCAGAAGCTATTCCTCATCATACTGGGGCACTGGGAAGATTCAAGGAGTTTTGCAGTGGGTTAGAAGTCCTGGTGTATGTTTTTGTTTCCTCCTGCTAGTAATAAGGAAACAAAATAGGACTTCTTTTTTCCTCTGATTCTGTTAACAGAGAGACTAGACTACTTCAAAAGAATATTCATTGATGTAAAGGGTATAGAATACTTAAGAACCCTTGCCCGTCATAATAGAAGGAGGCACAGAATCAGAACAACCCTGTTTATGTAAGTAGTAGAACTAATATTCTGTGTATCTTACTTTAATTTAATTTTGATTTCTGTAGCAAAGTCCAGGCTCGAGTAGCCTTCTCTGCCTACCTCCAACATGTTCAGACGCGACTGATGAAAGACAATGGAGGCCAATCCTTTAGTGCTAATTGGGCTGCCAAAGAAGATGAACAGATGGTAAGTTTCTGTATGTTAGGACTGCTCTGGTGGGTAAAACTGCGGCTATAATTGTGTTGACTTTCTTCTGAGATATGTAACAGTGAATTCACTGAATAAGAGGGTTATTTCATGCTACTTTAAGTATTTCTGTAAATGTAGAGAAAATCATCTGATGGCACTTACTCAATATGGAGGATAAAATTTGGCCCTTTGAAATGGAAATACCCCATTGCAGACTTCGTAACCACCTTCTTCTTCATAGGAAACACTCCAGAAATTATCCTCCTTTGACTTGCCAGTTATTTCTTTAATATTCATAAATTTGTTTAAATATTAGACTTACTGGCAGTTAACCAAACTTTTGAAAAATTGTCAGTCTTTATTACAAACCTTGACTTTTGTGTAAAATTCCTCAACAAGTCCTTTCTTGTATCAAGGGGACAGAAAACATCAAGCTGGTTGATGAGAATAAAGTGTCCTGAGAAATCTCTAGTCTTCTAACTCAAGACAGAAGGATCTTTAGGTTTGGAAAAGCTTTATTCTCTGTTTAGTTTAGCAGTCATTATTCCTCCATCTTCCTAGTTCTTTATACTCAAAAGGCAGGGTCTTATATTAGACTTAGTATGAATACAATTTGGTTATCCTTGAAAGTAGCTTGTGAGAGTTAAAAAGCCAGAGCAGCACACAGCAGAGAGATAAAACCTTATGTTGTGAATAATCCTTCAGCTGTCGGTGGAAAATGTTAGCCCTGCTTTTTCCAAGTGGAAAATTAAAATTACTTCTTCAAGAGTCAGCTTGTCTGCTGCACAGTGAAAAATAATGTTTTAAAATAACAGATTGAACCACCCTACAGTAAAGTCAGCTAGGGTAGTACTGTGAAATCCAGCCCTCTGACTTAGACATCACTCCTTTATGCTGGAGTAAATTGGCACTAACAGGACAACTGACCGAATATCCAGGAAAAAGGAGAAAAAAAACCCCAATCTCTTAAAAAATATCCATTGAAGATTGCTGGTTTGGGATTTCTATTTGATTATCATAGGGTATTTACTAAAGATTTTGGTATCATCTTTCACATGATTTGCTATTCATTGAAACACAACGATCTGTGAAAGGTCCTCTGTATTCCTTTTAAAAAAATAACTTTATTGGATTTTAAAAGCATATTTTTGCTGATGTATTTTTATTTTTGCATCACCTGCATTTCTCATAGTATCCTTCTTCCATGCCCTTCCCAGAAAGCCATCTCTTATAGTAAAGAATGTTTTTAAAAAGAGAGAAAAAGTTCAACTGAAGTGAGCAACACATTGAAAAAGTCTGATATATGGGTGGTAGTCTGATACCTTTGCAAAAAAAAAAAGCAAGAGGAGGTGTCTTCTGATATTTCTTCTTTGGGTCAACCTTGGTCATTATTTTTAAACTTGTTTGAATAATTTTATTGTTTTTGTTTATGCTTTATTGTCATGTGTATGTATATATACATATATTTCTTATGTATGTGTTTATATTTTTTCCTCATTCTGCTTATTTTACTTTGCGTCAATTCATGTGTCTTTCTGTGCTTCTCCTTATTCGTCACGTTCATCATTTCTTACAACACACTAATATTATCCATTAGCCAGGCCTTGTTTACCCATTCTACAATTTATGGGCATTATTTCTAATTCTTTGTTCCCACAGAAAGTGTTACTATAAATATTTTGCTCATTCAAAACATTTTTTTTCACTGACATCCTTGGACCATATGCCCAACTAGAGAGTCTCTGGGTGAAAGAGTATCGATACTTTAATCACTTTGATAAAATAATTTCAAATAGTTTTGCAGAATGGTTAAACCCATTCATACCTCAGCCAACGATTTATTTCTGAGCCCATCCTTCCACAGCCCCTCCAAGATAGATTAGTTTCATCTTTTGCCACCTTTGCCAACTTGCTGGTTATGTGATAAAAGCTCAGGATTATTTTCATTTGCTTTCCTCTTATTTTTGGTGATTAGAGCATTTTTTTTTGTCATCACAGGTTGTAAACCAGGCACCCATGAACTTTCAAAAAAGTAACTATTTCAGTCATCATCATTGTAATCCTATGTATTTATTTTATAAATTTAAAAACATTATTCTGAGGTATCCATAGATTTGACCAGATTGTGCCAGAGTGGTTCATGACACAAAAAAAGTTAAGAACCTCAGTTTTATGGTTTACATTTATTTTTAGAATTGTTTGTTTATATCATTTGACCACTTACTGGGAAATCACTTTTGATTTTACAAATTTCTTTTTTATTTAAAATTTTTATTTTTCAGTTCTAAATTCTCTTTTTCTAGCTCTACTACCCATTGAGAAAGCAAGCAGTATAATACCATATTATACATGTAAAGTCATGGTTTTACATATTTCTAATAATTGTCTATATATCGTGGTTCTCAGAATTTTTTCGGAGGTTTATAATACAAAACTTTGTTTTCCTGAGTTTTTTCCTAAGTGCATTAATTTTGTCCTAGCAAAAGCTTTTGAATTTCATGTAATTGAAATTACTTTATCTTTTGAAGTTGCATTTTATTGCTTGTTTCATTATGAATTTACCACCTTCCCATAGCTATGAAAAGTATATTATCTGTTTCTCTTTTAATTTTTATGTTATTTTTAATATTCACATCATGTATCCAATTTGAATTTATCATGGTATATAGTACAAATGTTGATCTAAAGCTAGATAATGCCAGACTACTAATAGTTTTCCCAGAAATTCTTTTAAGATAAGTAGTTCTTTCCCAGATGATGAATGTTTTCAGGTTTTTGAAAACCAGATTATTGAGCTGTTATTTCTAATTCTTTCTTGTCTAGTCTGCTCCACTGAGCTACTTTTCTGTTTTTAACTGATACCAAATGGTTTTGATGATTATGCTATATAATATAGTTTTCAATAGTATGTAATAAAGAAGTACTTTCTTTGCTACCTTTTTTCTTTATTTCCCTTTCATTTAGATCTTTTGTTTTTCCAATTGAATTTTGTCTAGGTATAAAGTATGTGTTTGGTTTGTATGTTACTAAATCTGTAAATTAACTTTGGCAATATTGATATTTTTATTTTGGCATGGCACAACCATGAGTACTGATTATTCCTACAGTTATTCAGATTGTCCTTTGTTAAAGAACATTTTGTGATTATATGTATACAGATATTGAGTATCTTTTGATAGGCTTTCTCCTGTGTATTTTTTACATTAAACAGTTATTTTGAATAGGACTTATCTTTCTGTTATTTCCTCTTGGATTTTGAGATTTCAATGTATATAATTTAGTGGATTTATTTTGTAGGTTTCAAATTTATTGAAGCTATCATTTCAGGTAGTTTCTTTGTTGATTCCCCAGTGTATTTTAAGTGATCATGTGGTCAGTAAATAAGAATAGTTTTGTTGTCTCCTTGCCTGTCTTTATGTCTTTAATTTCTTTCTCTTGTCTTATTGCTATGGCAAACTTCTCTAGGCCTGTATCAAATAGCAGTAGGCAAAGTATACATTCTTTATTTATTGGAAAGTTGCTACTATTTCCCCATTCCATATAATGCTAGCTTTTGCTTTGGTAGATACTTTTTATCATACTAAAATAATTCCTATATGTCTTTACTTATAAAGATTTTTTTTTAAATTAGTGTTTTCATTTTAAAAAGGTTCGGTATGAGTTCTGCCCAACAAATGCATTACTGGCCTTGTGACCTTAGACAAGTCATTTAGCATCTCAGTGGTCAAGGTAACTCTTAATATATTGAGATAGTTTGCACATCTAGGATTTCCCTTTACCAATAAAATCACTTGTTCAGAGCCTATCTCCTTTATTGATATAATCATGTGATTTGGAGTTTTTAATATAAATTTTTAATATAAATCATTATGTTGAATGTTGTCCAGATATTGAACTATTCCTGATGTAACTACAACTACAACTTGCCTGGATTTGACTTAAAATTTTTTAATCAATATTCATTAATGATATTGAGGTATAATTCTCTTTCTTTGCTTTGTCCTTCCTTAGTGTAGGTATCAGGATGGTATTTGTCTCATAAAAGGAAATTGGTAGAGTGTTTCCTTCCTCAGTTTTTGAGAATAATTTCTGGAGTATGAGTATTCGTTTTTCTTCAAAATTTTGATAGAATCATCCTCTAAATCCATCTGGACCAGATTTTGGTTTTGTGTTTTCCCCTTTTGATAGTTGCTTTACATTAAAATTCAATTCACTTTTGTGATCTCTGATTGGGGTTCTATTAACTTGGGTGATTTATATTTTTGTAGATAATTTTCTGTTCCTTTTGATTTCTCGGTTACATTCACGTGATTTTGTATAGTAGGTTATGATAATTTTTATTTCTTCTGGGCTTGTTGCAATTTCAACTTATTTTTTATTTTCTTAATCTGATTTTCTTACCTCTCTTTTTAAATCAGGTTTGGGTAAAGCTTTATCAATTTTGGAAGGCTTTTCAAAGCTTTTAGCTTTCTTGATTGGTTCTACACTCTTTTCAGTTTCATATATATAACATACTTTTTTTTCTTTCAAAGTTTTCTCTTTGGTGCTTATTTTCGACTTGATCATTTGGTGGTTTTCTAGTTTTCAATTTCACATTTAGTTCATTAATCTTCCTTTTCTGTTTAGTTAATGTATGCTTTGGGGATATAGTTTTTCTGAGTATTGCTTGAACTGCCTCTCAGAAATTTTGGCATGTTCTGTCATCTTTATCATTGTCTTTCACTTAGTTAATAGTTATTTTTGTGATTTGTCCTTTGATCCACTTGTTATTTAGGATTTAATTATTGAGTCTTAATTTAGAACTTTGTCTTGTTCCTGTGACCTTAGATTGATTGCTATTTTTTTATCAAGATATCAAGGGTGTGTTTGATATTTCTTTTATATTTACATTTATTTGTAATATCTCTGTATTCCATTCTGTAAGTTTCATGTGGTGCTGAAAAAAATGTATATTCCTTAGTGGTTCCATTCAGAAGGTACCTTAACTCAAAATTCTC